CTCTACGCCCTGGAGGCGAGTTTGTTGACAAAAGGATGGCTGCTCAGTTTCTGAGGTTTAGCATTTAATCCTGGAGAACACTGGCAGTTCACCATCACATGAGGGTTCATCATCTATCTATATGCATATGTACATAGAGTTAATTACAAAAGCTTCACCCAGTCCATGCCCTCCAACAATTTGAAGATCATACTGATAGACTGGGTAAGAAAGAGAACTCTAGAAACATGACATAATCCAGGATATAATAGGATACGCCAAAGAGCATACTACGCACACAGCTTACAATAGTCTTTATTTTACGCCAGACTGGATGCTGAGCATGGGCATATAGGATCCTATTTTTCTGAATGTTTATACTTTTAAAATGAGGTATGAGGCTGGGCATGGTGGCGAGTGCCTGTAGTCCTTAGGCTAAGGCAGGAGGATCATTTCACTTGAGCCCAAGAGTTCAAGGCTGCAATGAGCTATGATCATGCCACTGTACTCCAGGCTGGGTGACAGAGTGAGACCCTGTCTAAAAAAGGGATAAAATAAAAAATAGTATATCCAGCCGGGCGCGGTGGCTCACGCCTGTAATCCTAGCACTCTGGGAGGCTGAGGCGGGCGGATTGCTCCAGGTCAGGAGTTTGAAACCAGCCTGAGCAAGAGCAAGACCCGTCTCTACTATAAATAGAAAGAAATTAATTGGCCAACTAATATATATATAGAAAAAATTAGCTCAGCATGGTGGCAAGTGCCTGTAGTTCTAGCTCCTCAGGAGGCTGAGGCAGGAGAATTGCCTGAGCCCAGGAGTTTGAGGTTGCTGTGAGCTGGCTGATGCCACGGCACTCACTCTAGCCTGGGCAACAAAGTGAGATTCTGTCTCAAAAAAAAAAACCCCTAAGACACAGAGCCAGATGTAGTGGCACACACTATTGTCCCAGCTACTCAGGAACTTGAAGTGGGAGATTCACTAGAGCCCAAGAGTTCAAATCCAGCCTGTCCCGGTAACATAGTAAGATCCCATCTCTATTTTTTTATTTATTTTTATTTTTTTTTGAGACAGAGTCTTATTTCGTTGCCCAGGCTAGAGTGAGTGCCGTGGCGTCAGCCTAGCTCACAGCAACCTCAGACTCCTGGCTCATCTTAAAAATATTTAAAAATGAAGTATGTGCCTATAGGAAAAAAAATTATGTATTAACAAGACTTTTTAAGGTTACATTTTAAAAAGAAAAAAGATGCTTATGAGAGACTATTAACAACCATCAAATCAAATTGTGAAAGTGTCAGCAAATCAGTAGAGTTGGGCCAGATAGATGGCCTCTGAGTTTGTGGTTCTAACAATCTTCAACACATAACAGAATATGCAACAAGGGAGACAGACCCAGATACAAGATCTCAACCTTTCCTGGAATTCATGGTCTACTGGTCAAAGTAAGTAAATGCAAACAACTGTCCTTTGGAATTTAGCCCTTAAGATTTGAATTTCCTTTTCTTTTGGATATTCCTTTATCTGGCCAGGCAGACCTCTACCTTACATACACCTTGCTTACATGTCACTTTGCCTTTGTTGGATTGGCAGTTTTCCACACATATATATTTCTCACACAATATATTTCAATAAAATCAATTCCACCAACTTTGTTTTTTTCTTCTCTGCTTTTGTTGTTGTTGTTGTTTGTTTGGTTTTTACCAACTTTAGGAATAAAAGCAACTACCCTTGCTTTATTTATGGCTTTGGTTTTTATGCCTCTCTCTTCTGAGACTTTCTCTCTCCTTCAGTCTTTATTCCCCTGATGAATATGCACGATCTGATGATACCTGTCTTTCTATGGATCATTATAAATATTGATTCCCAAACCTACAGAACTCATAAGAATAAGAAGCAAGCACAAAAGTCTGTTTCACTGGGACAGAAGGCAGAATTATACCACAAGAATTCCAGCCCTAAATGGGAAGTCAGGATAACAATAGCTACTAGCATTTGGTGAGCACTTACTATGTGCCACGCCGGTAAGGTTCTGTTGCTTTACTGTAAGTATGTATTAACTCATTCCATCCCCACAGTAACTCTATGAGACAGGTGTCGCTCCACGCCACCTAAGAGAAATGAAACAGAAGTACTTTGTCCAAGATCACACAGCAGAGCTGACTTCAGAGCCTGTATTATATACTATCACATCCTCTTAGTCACTTTGTTCTTCTCATTAATTTGGGAACTTCCTCCCAGAGAAGTGAGTCAAGAGGCAGCTAAGTACGACACTGATTAATATTTCAATTGTGGCGCTCACCCTGTGCTACAGAACGGCTTTACAGGCATTATGACTTTTCAGGGCCCCATTCTAGCGATGAGGAAACAGGTTTCAGAGATGTTAAGTAATTTGCCCACACAGCTAACAAGCGGCGGAGGCGCCGGGGCTGTTTGAAGCCAAAGTCCACACGCTCATAACCGCTCCGCTCCGCCGCGCTGCCGCGGATGAATGAGAACGGGCAGGGACGGCGCGGGTGGCGCCTCGTGTCTCACCCCCCTTAGTAGATGCACCTACTGAGTTAGCTGACCTTCCAAAGCTTCGGGACACAGACCTATTTGTGTAAGTGACCTACGAACGCAAAGAAATGTAACTTTTCGCATTTGCTGAGAATACGAACAACTTGGAGGGGTTCCAGTTAGCCCGCGGTTCAGATCTCATCCTCTCTGGAGCCGCGGAGCGAGGGAGGAAGTGGCTCCGGATGGAAAGTAAAGTGACAATCGCAGAAGGGAAGGCAGCCTTTCCTCCCCGGGCAGCAGAGGCGGCCCAGCGGGCAGAGGGGACCTGCAGAGGGCGGTTTCTCTCCTCTTTCCTGTCCCACCCAGTCGGCCTGTCCGCCTCCCCCACTCCGGCTGGCTTTGCAGCTAACTCTGCGCGTCTCTCCGCGGCTTCCTCCAGCTCGGGTCGGTCCCCCTGGGTCGGTCCCTCTGGCTCGGCCTCTCCAGGCCTCCGCGAAATCTCCGGGGTTCCCGCCCGGGTCGAGTTCAAAAGGACGCGCGGAGTGGCGCCGGCCCTTCCCCGGCAGCCCGTCCAACTGGAAAGGTGAGCATGCGGAGGAGGGGACCTGGGGAGGGCGGGAGCGCCCGGAGAGCCCAGTCGCCCACACACACGGCAGCCACCTCGGCCACTGCAGGAACTGAAACCGAGAGCGGCCGGAGCTCCGCGTCCCGCTGGAGCGGCGGGTGGCAGCTGCTCCGAACGCGGCGTCCCGGGACGCACCGCCCGGCGCGCACCGGCCCCAGTCCGCGCGGGAGTCACTTGTGCGGGTAACGCAGGAGGGCTCCGAGTGGGGCTGGGGGCGGGCCGCGGGGGCGAGGACCCAGCCCGCGGGGTCGCCCGGCGTGATCCCCGACGTCCGCAGAGGTGTCGCGGGTCCCCGGGGAGCCCGAGTCACAGGCTGGGACCAAGTGAGGTTTGGTCGGCCGGCGGGGTTCGGTAGGCTGTGCGCGCATGGCGCACCAAACAACGAAGCGGGGGCTGGCAGCGGGGCGGCCAAGCCGGGAGACAGGCCAAAAGGCGACTGAGGGCCCTCACCTTCAGTTTCTTTCCTGGCTACCCTGTCGTCCCCACCCCAGCTCCCGAGCCCGGGCGTGGGTCCTGACCTTCATGGCCCTCTCCTGACACCTGGTGGATGGCTCCACCACAATCCGGGCTGTGGAATCCCAGGGTACCTGCTATCGCGCTTTGGTGAAACTGGGTCCGCTGCTGATTTGCATATCTTTGCCTAACTTTCTCAGGCCTTGGGAGCTCGCCTAGGTAAATGTGGTAGCCCAGTGACAGGATCTCGGGTTAGAGCGTTCAAAGGGAATGCACAGCAAATACATGCAGTCTCTGGCCTGCGCTTGGGGAGATCTGGGGAGATACTCAGGGAAACCAGAAGAGAAAAAGAGGAAATGAGGAAAGGACTCGGGAAAACCTGGCAACAAAGGCTTTCCTGGGATTTACAGGCGTCTCCAGCCCCAGGGCCCCACCCATTTCTTTCCTGCCTTTGCATTTCTTCCTACAGATCTGCCGCTTCCTCGAGGTCTTCAACCACTGGCAGCAATGGCCAGCCTCCTGACCACACCTTCTCCAGGAGGTAGGTGAAGGCTTTCCTAATCCTAATGGAAGAGAATTGTTCAACATCCCCTTCCCCAGATCAGTCCTGGAATTCCCTGAGGCCTCAGCCCAGAGGGGAGGACTCTCTCACCTCTCTGCCTGCCTCACAGGAAAAGGTCCTGGCAGGACACCGGAGACAACTGGACCGTGCACTGTAGTACAGTTTTCATCTGAAGTCTGGTGGACCTGGGCCAGTTTCCTGACGCTACCGCTTAAAGCTTTGTGACCTTGATTTTATAAACTAACTCTATAAACCTAAAGGAAGGGCTTTACATTCTCCCTTCTAGTAATTTATAGCTATGGCAGAGTTTGACAGCAACCCCCATAGTTAAACATGGAAAAGGAAGCTTTCAAAGATAACAGGGAAGTAAACATTTTTATAAAACATGCTAAAGATAGTATTTCTAAGCTTGAACTCCAGTTTCATTTGTAAAATAGGAAAATAGTACCTATCTTATGTGGCTATTTGTGCGGATTAAATTCGACAACCCACATAAAATTCCTATAATAGTGTCTAGTATCTAGTAAGCACTCAATGATATTGGTTATTATTATGGGGTGCTTGTTAGAAATGCATGTTTCCCTGGAAAGGGATTTTGCTAGTCTAATCCGACCCTTCTGATGATACAGACCCAGCACCAAAACCCCACTGTTCCTGGAGGTATTTTACAGCAGGGCTCTGCCACTCATCACACTGAGAATGGATTCCACTTCTCGGTTGGTAACCAGGCTGGGCTGGAGAAACTGTCAGATGTTTATTGACTGTTTTCAGCATATACTAGATAGAGTGAGGGGGGAACAAACTCTTGGTTGGTCTGTGTACCTATGTTTTCATACACATATTCTCATTGGTCATTAGGACAGACATTCCTAGCTTTTGCTGATATGGAAATAGGTAACTGACAACCCCAGCAGAAGTCTAAGACAGTGTCCTCTCTGACTGTGATGCACATATGTCGACTTTTAATTGGTGAGAAGAGATAAGAAAAGGGAGAAATGGGCAGAAGTCTAGACTGGTCAGTAAAGGCTTCATGAGTGGGGAAGGGGATCTGGGCCTTTCTCTTAAAGGATGGCTGAGGTTTGCACAGGCATAGAGGGGCAGCAGGTATTCTAGATGAAGGTAGAATACCTTTCCCATGTGTGAAGCTATGGAAACCTGGTTTGCCCTGCAGGATGTTCAGGAGGAGAGAGCAGAGGAGATCCAGAATAAACCTGCCCACAGGGAAAAAGCCAGCTGGGGTTAGGACCTGAGCAAAGGGAACTATTTACACTCTTTTTTTCCTTCTTTTTTTAAAATTCATGGTAAAATATATATAATACAAGTGTTACCATTTTAACCATTCTTTGGTGTACAGTTCAGTGGTACAGTAGTCCCCCTTTACCCACAGGGGCTATATTCCAAGACCTCCAGTGGATGTCTGAAACCACAGATAGTACTGAACCCTATATATAGTATGTTTTTCACTACATATACTTACCTATGATAAAGTCTAATTTATAAATTAGGCACAGTAAGAAATTAATAATAACAAATAATAAAATAGAACAATGATAGCAACATACTTTAGTAAAAGTTATGTGAACGTGGCCCCTCTCTCTCCCTCTCAAAATAGCTTATTGTACTGCAGATCTTAGCATACAATCTCAGCATACAATTTTTTTTCTTGCCTTATTAAGTCAAGAACTTCCATCTTTTCACCTAAAGGAAGCACTTTACTGCTTCTCTGTGACATGTCCAAATTGTCAGCATTACTACATTCTTGTGTTGGGGCCATTATTAAGTAAAAGAAGAGTTACTTGAACACAAACACTGTGATCCTATGACATCCAGCTACTAAGTGACCAGCAGGCAGGTAGCATCTACAGCATGGATATGCAAGACAAAGGGATGATTCATTTCCTGGGCAGGACAGAGTGAGATTTCATCACACTACTCAGAATGGCATACAAGTTAAAACTTATGAATTATTTATTTCTAGAATTGTCTATTTAATATTTTTGAATTGTGGTTGACCGAGAGTACTGAAACCATGGAAAGAGAAAGCACAGATAAGGGGGGATGACTGTATTAAGTACATTCACATGGGCGTGCAACCATCACCACCTTCCATATCCAGCACTTTTTCATCTTCCCACACTGAAACTTCACATCCGTTAAACACTAACTCCCATTCCTCCCTCCCTCAGCCCCTGAAACCACTATTCTACCTTCGGCCTCAATGAATTTGACTGCTCTAGATACCCTGTATAAGTGAAATCATACAATATTTTGTCCTTTTGAGTCTGGCTTATTTCATTTAGCATGATGTCCTCAAGGTTTATCCATATTATAGCATATGTCAGAATTTCTTTCCTTTTAAAGGCTGAATAATCTTCCATTGTATGTAATTACCACATTTTGTTTATCCATTCATCTGTTGATGGACATTTATTTGATTGCTTCCGCTTTTTGGCTATTGTGGATAATGTTACTATGAACATGGGTGTACAGACATCTGTTTGAGTCTCTGCTTTCGGTGCCTTTGAATATATACTCAGAAGTGGAATTGCTGTATCATGTAGTAATTCTAAGTTTAATTTTTTTGAGGAACCACCATGCTGTTTCCCACAGTGGCTGTGCATAAATCTTCCTGTTTCTCTCCACATTCTTGCCAATACTTTTTACTTTCTGTTTTTTTTAATAGTAGCCATCCTAATGAGTGTGAGGTGGCATCTCATTGTGGTTTTTTTTTTTTTTTTTTTGGAGACAGAGTCTCAGTCTGTTGCCCGGGCTAGAGTGCCATGGTGTCAGCCTAGCTCACAGCAACCTCAAACTCCTGGGCTCAAGCGATCCTGCTGCCTCAGCCTCCCGAGTAGCTGGGACTACAGGCATGCGCCATCATGCCCAACTAATTTTTTTCTATATATATTTTTAGTTGTCCAGCTAATTTCTTTCTATTTTTAGTAGAGATGGGGTCTTCTGATCTCAAGCACCTACCCCCCAAAAAAAAATATATATATATAATAGTATTTTGCAACTGTATCAGTATAAGAAAGAATATAAAAATATTAATATAATAATATAGTTAATATTTATAATTAACTGAATGATGTAATAATCTTAATATTCCTTTGACCTAAAAGTTTGATTTTTTTCTTCCTATTTTAAAAGAAATGAAAATCATTAAAAATATTTCCATGGGCCCTTAGAAGTACTGTGGACCATAGGCACTGTGGTTGTACATGGTGCATAAGCCAACCCTGTTGGAAGTAGGGCAGAGTGGAACTGTGCCTGTGGGCTCTGCCCACCCCCACCAGCTATAAAGCTCATCCCGTGCCACTGAATAATCACTCTAGCTACTTCCTAGCTTGTCCTTACTCTGTATTAGACACTTAGCAAATTGCATTATTATTATTCCTCACCACAACCCTTTGAAACAGATTTTACTCTCATTTTACAGAAGCAAACACTGAGGTTCAGGGAAATTAGGAAATTAAGAAATTTTCAGAGGTCAAGAAAATGTCCCAAGGCCATGCAGCTGTTTAACAGGAGAGGCAGGATTTTGTGCCGAGTCTGATTTACTGCAAAGCCTGTGTTCTTTCCGTCATTGTGTACTTCTCCCAAAGTCTCGCTCCACCCACTGGTCAGTGCGTGTGAAAGGAAAGGTGGGAGAGAGGGGGCAGAGTTCCAGGTCGGGTTCCCACAGAAGGGGAATTAGAGGAGCCGCCCCATTTGGTCAGGTTGAGAGTAAATAAGTAGGCTGGCAGACTCTGGTGGCAAAGGATCTGATGCCTCAGTGATAAGAGATTTAGCTCAACCTGGGAACAAGCGCCACAAAGAAACCAGCCAGTATCTGGGTTAACAAAAAAAGGAGAATGAACAGACTAGATCTTGAAGGTCATTGCTGTTGTTTAGGATTTGGGTGGAGCCTTAAATTGCGTGCTCCTCTGCCCTGGCATTCCACTACCAGTAAAAGTGGTGCTACAGTCTTTCCAAACCTGAGAAGGGAAGGTAGATAGTAGCATTATTATTCCTTTGTTTGGACAAGGAGATAGGAAAGAAATGGGGTAGGAACAGGAAGTGATGGGGGAAAGCCATTTTCTCCCTTCTCATGCTGGGCTTCTTGAACTTAGTTGACTTTGTTGTTGTTTATTTTTTCATTTAAAAGGTAATACAGGCCAGGCGCGGTGGCTCACACCTATAATCCTAGCACTCTGGGAGGCCGAGGCAGGTGGAATGGGTGGATCGCTTAAGGTCAGGAGTTCAAAATCAGCTTGAACAAGAGTGAGACCCTGTCTCTACTAAAAATAGAAAGAAATTAGCTGGACAACTAAAAATACATAGAAAAAATTAGCCTGGCATGGTGGCGCATGCCTGTAGTTCCAACTACTCGGGAGGCTGAAGCAGAAGGATTGCTTGAGCCCAGGAGTTTGAGGTTGCTGTGAACTAGGTGTTGACACCATGGTGTTCTAGCCAGGGCAACAGAGTGAGACTCTATCTCCTCCCAAAAAAAAGATAATACATGCTCCTCAGGACATAGCCTTCCAGACCTTTTCTATGTACATACAGACATATATGTGCATGTGTATAGTTTTCATATATTTTTATAAAGATGTAATCATATTACATATATCACCTGACAATTTGCTTTCTTCATCTAACCATATATCCAGTCCCAGTAATATTACAGATCTACCACATTCTTTTTAACACTGTATAGTGTTTCCAGAATGGATGGCCTATAGTTTATTTCATCTTTCCTCTCCCAATAGACATTCAGGTATGAATCACTCTTGCAAACAGTGCCACAGTGAACACCCTTTCCATTTTGCCATAAAACTCAGAGAACTCAACCCAGTGGACATGTAAATGAAATGTTAGCTGGAGGCAAAACAGGGGGTGTTTTCAGAACTTGTAGAGTTGGTAGTGTTTGGTGGAAAGAACCTTGGAAAGAGGAGACAGATTTGAAACGTGGCTGAGCTACCCAGGGCTGTGACAAC